CTTAGTAAATAAAATCATAAAATGGCCTGGGTTGGAAGGGACCTTAATGATCATCTAGTTAAAATTAGTTTTATGCAGTTGCACAGCCAGTTATAATTCTGCTAGTGTAATGACCAGGGTCATGGTCAGCCAATTCAGTGTTCTACCTGGACATGCTGTACACACTGGGGGCAGCAGCTCTTGGCCTCTCTCTAGTTAATGTAGTCATATTATCTAGTAACTCTGTCTGGTTGCCTTTCAAGACCAGAAAGCATACCTCAGACAGGGTCTAACCTCATGTGTGATATGAGACACAGAATATCCTAAAAAGAGGCAAAACCTGGACTGCTAATCCCCTCAAAGAGACAAAAATAAGTGTTCTTCATAATGTCCTGAGAGGAAAAGCATATGATATGGCCTTTTAGTTTCTCAAAATTCTCCAAATTCTCTACAGACCCCTCACTTTCTTCGTGGTAACTCTCAACCCATTTATAATATGTAATGATTTGACAAGTGAATGTAGTTTAGTGTCTGGTTTGTTTGTGAAACTTTCGTTCCTTGAATTGATGAAGCTAGTTTTTTGTGTTGGGTGACTGATCACTGAAGTAATAAAATATTTTTTCTGCTTCCAGGTATGGGCTTGAAACTTGTACAGTAGAAATAAACTGAATAACAGTAGAGTAGAAATAATAAATTAATCTGCCCTATTAATATGTTTTTATCATATTATTAATAATTCATAATTACCAAGAAGATTTTGATTATGGTCGATCTGAGTAGGCATTCATGATGATGAATACAGGTATATAAAGCCAGCATTGATTGATGCAGTTTTTCAAAAGTGTAATTTTAACTTCTTTTTCATAAAGGGACAAGGTGAGGTAGATTTAATTTATTTCGGTGAGTAAAATTGCCACTAAATCCCTTTCAGATTTTGTAGCTATGCTTCTGTACACGAAAGATGATTTTATTCTTATGTGATACTATCTTGCCATCATAGTAAAGAGATGACATATTTAGATGTATTCAAGTATTTATTCTATGTATGTTGTTGCCATGATGCATCAATAATCCAGTTTATCTTAGTTCTGTCCCATGTTAAAAAAGAGTAATAGCAAAACTAACAGAAAAACATGGGAGTTTTTTCTGTTCTTTGAGATTGGTCTGCCAGTTTTCTGTTAGCAACTATGATTTTTCAAAGGTTTCAATCATCTTCCAAGCCACCAGAAAACATAAGACCATTCTATTTGTTTTCTACATCATATGTATGCAACAGACAAAAAAGATCATAATATGTAGCAGAAACTGAAATTCTAAGAAATCCCAAATCTTCTTTGTGTTTTAGTTTGGCTTTGGCAGCTTGACTTACATGAATAAAAAGTCTGTTAATAAAAATGACTGTTTTGTCTTCTAAAGTTTTGAATTTTTTTTTTTTTAAATCACTAGATTTCCTCTTGTTTTTTCAAAAAACTGTTGATAATTGTTTATTCTTATATTTTCTCTATAATGCATATATCTTTCCCATCTTATAACTCAGTTTAGTTCAGTTTATGTTAGGAGTTAGTTTTAGCTTTGCTAAAACTATGTTATGTATATATATATATATAACACAGTGAGAGAGATGTCTACTGCTACCACAGCTCCTATTTCCTTTCCTTGAAATGTAATCCGAGACATTTGTTTTACTGACATGGATCTTGAGAAGGTGCATGCTTTGAAAGAGTAAGAATTTTGTTCTAGACGATTTTACTAAATGAAAAAGCTAGAGAATTTTTCCTGCTTCTGGCTATTTAACACATGGTCTCCTCACATCCACCTTCCATCTTTTGGATTGACACACTGAAAATTACATAGGAAAATATTAATAGAATTTAACTAGTAGTTTGAAGTGTTCTATATGAAATATTTTTAAAAGGAATATTTATTGTTATTATAAATCATTGGGTTTAGATATTGGTGTACTTTAAGAAGGAAAAGGACCCTCATATTAAAGCATAGTTTGTAAAGTGAATAACACACTCCAGGCCAATGTGTATTTTCACTGATAGTTTCTGGCCTTGTTATGTAACACATGTTTTTAGACTCTGGAAATCAGCATTTTGGATTTGCTAGAAGAATTGCCACCCAATCAAAACCTATATTTTCCTGGGTATAAGAAGGAATACTGGCTGACCAAAGGCCCTAATATCTGTTTTACTATTAGGAAAATTTCAAGGCATTTCAATACATTTCAGTTCCAAACCATGAATTTCTAATACTTAAGCTAAAAAGTCACCTTTCTCTACCATTAAAACAGAGGAAAGACTTTAGACTGCTCTGGATCTTCTTACTCAGTTGGGTCAGCCATGGGACTCATGCAAATGTGCTTGGGCAGAGTGATATGTACAAATATGAGATAAATTCACCCACTACTGTATTCCCTCTTGGGTAGCATATATTTAAGCATGAAAGTAAGATGTCTGTGTAAAACCTTTGGTGCCTAGAAAGATCAGGAAGGATAGGAGAGGTTATCTGTGGTGTTCATTGGGAAAGTAGTAATTTAAATCATCTGTACAAGTATGAGCAGAGAGGGACTACTTTCTGGTCTACCACCTAGCCTAGCACAGCTCATACGCGAACACCTACATTTTTTTCCTTTTTCTCCAAAAAAAGGAAAATCTGCTTACTGGTGTGGTCCTTGGCATACGCCCTTCCCCAGACAATGGCTGGGCACTCTCTGGAAAGGTAGGAATTAGCACAGCCACAGTTGTGCTGGTAGTGGACTGACAGCCTTCTCTGGTGCTCCATGTAGCCTTGCTGGCCAAAATAGAGCAATATGGGAATATTAAAAATATCCATATAAACTACAGAAAAGTTTGAAATCAGCTGCAAGAAAAAAAAAACAAAGCGAGAGGCATTTATCTAAGAAACAGATATCAAGAACAGGTACACTCATGCACATCCATTCTTTAAAAATATGGATAAGAATTTAAATGTAATTTTGAGCCAAAGCTTAGAACTTGTGAATCAGAGCAGGAAGATGATATGTATGAACTGAGCTTAGATACATCAAAATCTTCACAGAAGCTCACAACTGCATTATTTACTTCTGCTCTTGAATAAAAGTTTATTTCTTATCTTGCTTAAGTAGACACATGAGTTTGCTCATTTTCTTGTTACTGTGTATGGTACACTTTTCAATACACTCCCTAAAAACTGATGTACATTTTCAAATATGGTTCATAACCCAACATACTACTATTAGATCTATTTCATGAAGAGAATAAGAGGGTTCTCTACACTGTTAGCGACCAAGAAAGAACATCTGTGAATATGTATCTATCAGACCCAGTGTTCCTGTTTCTAACAAACAGGCTATGCTCACTGACTAATTAAAAATAGAAAAACAATTGCTTTATTTCATTTATTATTGCAAGTGTCAATATAGCAACTAAAGCATCAAAAATGTGGTGGGTAATATAGTCAATAACAGGAAAAACACTTTCTCTCTAGAAGTTTATACGAGAACAAAAAGTATACACATCACCTAGTCTTCCTTGTCATTAATCTGTGGATAAGAAAACTTTGTAAGCAATTAAAATTGAATTTGTAATGGAAAAAAATCATGTTCTACAGAATACAGTAGGCAAAAGCTGCTATAAAGAGATAATCACAAACCATAGATTACTGACAAAGGCTTCACTTTATCACTTCACAGCCTTACCCATACTTGCCACTATTGCAACAATCTAAAATTAAAGTTTTGTGATTCTGGGACTACTACATTGGAATTAGTTATATAATTTAAGCTGCTATTATTGACACTCATCAAATTATAACCAATGAGATGAAACATACTGAATTCAAACCAAACTCTCATCTAGATTACTCATTTCAGGTGTCAGAGTTTTTTAATTTTCGCTGCTTCAAAATTTAATCTACATTTCCTTCTTTATTAGAAACAGGTCTAGAGAGAAGAGAAATGATCAGCTGACTATATTGCTTTTCAGCCTGTGATAAAGGAAAGGTAGTTACTAAGATTTTCAGATATTCTGAATGAATACAAAAAGGAAATTTTTGTTATGTAACTACCTAGATAGCAAGTATCTAGACAGTAAATAATGTACTTCAAAACAGATAAGTGGAAAATAAAATGGGAACCACCAAACCTCTCTGTACTCTGTCACATAGGGTTTTTATCACCTTTGTTGCCTGGTTTCCAATCTATCTTCTCAGGAAACTTTCCTGTGCCCAAAAGGTTAGTGCAATTCTAATGACAAACATCCTTGCTCAGAAGACAAAAGGCATTAAAAATTAAAATCAGCATGTTTATTTTAATTTTCTGTTTAAATTATTATAATAATTGCAATAATCAAAGATCCTGCAGCCATGGCTACACAGCATCAGATAACATCTTTAAAGTGTTCCTTTTAGCTCCCAAATGTAGACATTGATTCTCACTCTGGTAGATTTATCCCCTGGTCTGCAGCTCTTAGTGTTCAAGAACCCTAATGTTCAGGAAACTAGTGCTGTAGACTGGATAAGGTTTTATTTGAAGGGAAGCAGCACCATCTATTGCAACCTGGTAGCTTAACTCTACATGATAGAAAGAACAAAGATGGCCTGAGCCCGGTTTTCAACTCTTTCTTGTGTGCACTTTCATAAATTTGTCTTTGACTGGCTTCAAATGAGGTTATTATCTCAGTTTGTTTATGATAAGGTGCAGGGACAGGGCTGTGTTCCATGTATGCATATATTCAATAAAAAGTCACATCTAAGAGATACCTGTTTATGAACTAAGATAATATAATAGCATAAGCGTAGTCCTGACTAACTGTTGCTTTTAAATGACTTGGCTGGAGTTTTTATTTCTGAAATGGGAGGACAGTCAAAAGTTAAGAGTTTATTTTAGCCAGGTGATATTCTCTCAAAATTTTCTTTCAGAAACAGCATTAATGTAGGTGTGCAGTACAGTATGTTCTTCTAATAATGACAGTGCTATTGTTATCCATCTATACTTCTCATTCTTCTCTATTTTCCAGATTGTCTACAAAGCCTGGCTGTGTTCCCAGTATTTTGAAGTCACACAGTTTCACTGCAACAACAGAATTCCTTGCAAGCAATACTGTTTGGAGGTTCAAACGAGGTGTCCCTTTATATTACCAGACAACGATGATGTCATCTATGGAGGACTATCAAGTTTCATCTGTACAGGTACAGTATAAAAAAACTAATTTCACTTGTTTTCATAAGTCTAAATTTCATGGACTTAGCTATAACTACGAGAGCCCAAGGTGTTCCTCATCAGAAAGATTTGTTAGAGGTGCTAGGATTTGAGCCCAGCTTTAGAAATGTACATTTATGCTACACCTTGCCCATCACCAGGCTTACAAATCAAAATTGCTAGAAAAAATTTGCTCTGGTTACTTTTTACAATTAATAATTTGGTGGAGGATTTCTGTTACTCCATGTCATGCAGTTCTCAGAGTAAAGAGGCTGCATGTCATGCAATATTCAGAAGACAAAGAGAAAGGTAGGTGCAGTTTCTAGTATATTCACCTTTGTACACCTACATTCTTACATTAGATAAATGGAGAATCTGAAGCATAGTGTTCAAAACTATAGCAGCTCTCAGAACGCGCATGTCTAAGGAAAGATCTTTCACAAGTGGAGAAATTTAAAAATCAATTTTTCAACTGTGAAGAACTGATCTTTTTTGTCTCCTCTGTATTTCAATTTTAAAAGGTATTGGTAATATATATCTCAGATATCACAAAAATTTTTTCAGGACTGGCTAGGAGTCATCTAAACAAAATTGCAGCTTATATCAATATTATCTTCAGATTTCTGGTGCCTGGAGTATCATCTAAGAACCTTGAAGATATTCAGGCAACTTATTCCTACTAAATAAGTAAAAAGGTATTTCAACACTTAGATCATTTGACATCCGTGGTCCAAACATTAGAAGTTAGACAGCCTTCACCTCTAAATTAGGGCTGCACTGGAAATCTTGATACTAAATGAGTTGCCCAAGGTAAGCTACTTAAAAACAGACCCAGTTATAAAACCCCATAGATGCTATATACCATCTCAAGTGCAAGTATAATGATTGTGGCAACTCACTTCATCTTATACTCTGTGTTTGGATTCAGGGTGATTCTGGTAGCAAGGTATTTACGATATTTACTCTATTTCTTTTTGAAGCTTAAGCCTTTTGCACACAGTTGAATAATATCCATCCATATGCAAAAGACAGTATAATAAAATGTGATCTCAGTTACAATTTCGAGTCATCAATAAGGCAATGGTGCTTAGCACTTTAATGCATTTCATAAATATTAATAGCCTTCCAATACGCATAGTCAGTAAACAAATTAGTATTATTTTCCAGTTTAAGATAGAATAGTAAAAGCCGATGTGAGAGACTTATTTATATGTTATTTACCACAAGTATACAATATATAGGTGTGTGTGTTTTCATGTATATACATGTGTAGCCACTTACACACACACACAATAGCAAAAAATCAAAGAATCAACAAAACTATCTTGGCACATATTTCAGAAAATCTCTTAGGAAATACATATCCATTTTCCTACTATAACTCAAAATCCAAATTCCTTCCTAAAACACAAAAAATATATATTTTGAAAAGATTACTGACATCTCTGAGTCTGAAATGAAAAAGAAATTTTAGGAGGGGATTAAACTCACTTTATTGCAGGTATTAGTAACCTGGATATCTACACATAAACTCTATTGCTAAGCTCTCACTAGAGTCACTAAAGATCTGGTGTAGTCAGTAGGGCTGAGAGATATTTATATCAGCCTAAGTAGGCACCTGCACCTGATGAGAGGACTCATTCACAGTGCTGGCTGCTCTCTATTTGCTGTGTTTGCTGTTAGTCACCAGGGTCTTTTTGCAGACATTTAAAACCAGGATGACCTGAAGCTCAGCTTATCAGTCCACTAACTAATATTTGGTTGAGCTTTTTGTCCTCTCAAATTCAGACCCAGCAGCAGCAGAGCAGAGCTTGTATTAGCAGATCCGCGGGAGTTAGTATGCTGACCCTAGGCAGTTGTGTACAAGAGAAGACGCTGAGGACAGGTACAAGGCTGCGGTTCAAGCTTTGTCTGGAACACAGGTCCATTTTCACCCTCTTACTAAGCAGTAGCTCACTGTAAGAGTACTTCTTGCCACTAAACAATGATAAATGAAACTATTATCTGCTGTGGGACTAAGGAATTACACTTCTCTGTAGCTTAGTGAAAACAGATTTATTTCATGCAAAGTACAGTGAGTTCAACAGCAGATAAAATAGTCTACCTCAGCATAGCATGTGGCTTGACAGATAACTTGAAATCCTCCTGCTGAAAAGCAGCTGGAAGCAGGTCACTTATGTCTTGGGGGACCTATTCTCCTGCTACACTTTCTGTGAGCTCCTGTCTGGCAGACATATTCTGGGATTTTTAGTTACTGATCTTGCTCTTCATTAGCGAAACCCAAAAGAGTAAGGTCAAAAAGTGTTTCTATCTACTATTTAGGTGTCAACTAACAGGAAAAGGTATTAGAGGGATATTTGGGTTTATTTGATATTAACTACAGCACAGAGGGTGAGACATACATATAAATATTACATGCCATTTTCCAGTTGCAGTTAGATAGAGGCTGGCATCAGCAGCAATGCTGGGAGGTGCCCTGGCTGCACCGAGCTGCCACCTCCCCTTGCCATGCCTGTCCTGCTGCAGCAGTGAGCCAGAGCACAGAAATCCGCTGGAGGTGAGCGTATGGCAGCAGTGGTGGACGAGGAACCTGTGTACTTTTTTTTTTTCTTTCGGGGCAGGATTTTTGTGAAGTTGGAGTCTGAAAAAAAAAAAGTGCTGGAGGCTGTAAAAAGAAATAATAACAAAGGTTTTATCTTTCCTTGGAAGATCCACATGATGACAAAACATCATAGGATTGTCTATTTTCTCACAAGAAATTCTGCAGTCATTGTTATCTTTGTCACCATAAATTAAAAAGAAAAAAATTTAGTTTATAATATGGATTAATATTGAATACTTCGAAATTCCTGAAGAACTCATATAATAAGTGACAAGTATTCTAGCCTGAGAATGTCTTAGTTGATCATCTCCAATGAAAGCAGATAGTGGGAAAGGAAGAAAGTGTGCTGCACTAGTTACATATCACCAAAACTTGTCTTTTGTAGAAATGCACATGAGGGTGTGGAATAACTGCAGTGCAAAAGAAAGTATTTGGGAGATTAATGAAAACAAACAGAATCACAGTGTGGTTCTGATTATGGGAATATGCAATTCACTGGAAAGAATTTTGTGTTCCACTCTTGCACCCTTGCTTCCAGGAAAAGGAAGGAAAGAAATTGATCCTTCCATCAAGCACTATTCTGGAACCTACTGGTTTTCATATTCATTAGAATTGAGTGATAGCTTTCAGTTTAGACCTTTGGCGTTCATATTCATATGATTAAAGTTAATACTGGTTTAGATGAAACTGAAAGATGTCTCTTTCTACCTCTCAGCTGTCTAGAATTGCCCATGCAAACCAGAATGTTATTTAACGGAAATAATAATAGAGTTTAGGCGCACATACACACACACACGCACACACAGAAACACACAAACACATATGGCAGATTACAACGAATTAGCTCCATGTAAAGTTCCAGGTCAGGGTTTTTGATTGTAATTTCTAAGAAAACAATGTACATACCACTGGGATTGTTTTCGGTCATAGATGTAGTCATCTCTTCCTTTATTTTTTTTCCGAGCTTGAATGGAAGATGTGGCAGATTTCTTTAACACATGGTCTTTCAGTGCGAAAAGAGAGTTGAAAGACTGTGGTGGGCTGACTCTGGCTGGACACCAGGTGCCCACTGTTAAGGAAACTTCCCAGTCTGACCATTTACGAGATTCTCTGGCAGTCAAACTCCCAAGGCCAGAGACTTTAACTGCTGTGTTTGAAGCCCCTTCTCAGCAGGCAGCTCCAGTGACCTGATGGGTGTTTTGCTTGATTTCCCACATACCCCACTCACATGCAGTCAGACCAGGTTTCCTTACTGGTTTGACCCCAGGTTTCCCATTGTAGAGTCTCAGACGTCTAGCTCCATAAAGTGCAGTAACACAGAAACGGCCCAACCTGTTGCCTCTGAGGAGGACCCCCAGCAAAGGAACCCCTGGGCTTTTATACTCTCACAGTCTACCCATGCTCAAGTCTGGCTCTTCCTCATGAGTCTTCCATTCCTACTGTGACTCTCAGTGTCCATCCTGGCTGGCACCACCAGTCTGTGCCTTTTGTTGACCAAAGGGTTGGCAGTTCACAGCCTCTTGTCTCTCTGAGTTCCCACCCAGATCTCAATCTGCATCCCGAACTGCACCTTGCAAACTGAACTACCTACTCCAGATGGATTCTTCAATACCCACCAAAGCCACTCTTTCACTCCCCTCTACAACTGGACAGGGGAGAGGAAAAAAGAAAGGTTTATGGGTTGAGATAAGGATGGGGAGAGATCACTCAGCAGTGGCCACCATGGGCAAAACAGACTTGACTTAGTGAAATTAGTTGAATTTATTACTAATCAAAATCAGAATGGGATAAAGAGAAGTAAAACATATCTTAAAAAATATGGCTGATTTTCTACCTCCTCCATCACAGGATCGTAGGTCTTACCAGTAAACCTGCCCTAGTTTGGCAACCTTTCTCCATGTATCTGCAGGTCCCTGCCAGGACCCTACTCCAGCACAGGCTTTCCTGTGGGGTCGCAGCTTCTTTCAGGTATCTACCTGCTCTGGTGTGGGGGGTGCTCCACAGGCTGCAGGTGGTTCTCTGTTCCCCTGTGGACCTCCATGGGTTGCAGAGTCACAGCTGCCTCACCATGGTCTTCACCACAGGCTGTAGGGGAATCTCTGCTCTGGTGCCTGGAGCACCTCCTTCTCCTCCTTCTTCACTGACCTTGGTGTCTGTAGAGCCATTGCTCTGACATATTCTCTCTCCTCTTTCCTCTGGACACAATTACTTCTGTATAATGACTTCTTTTTTCTTCTTAACTGTGTTATCCCAGAAGTGTTACTACCATCACTGATTGACTTGGCCTCGGCCAGTGGGGAGTCCATCTTAGAGCTGGCTGCAATTGGCTGTGTTGGACATAAAATCATCATAGAATCATAGAGTGGCCTGTGTTGGAAGGGACCATAA